AGCCCGAAAGGGGAACAGAGTCGCGTGACAGACACAGTGATTAAGCTGGTATGTGTTTGCAGCACACAAGCCACGGGTTAAGACAGGTGACTCCCTGTCTTAGAACTCTTAGACTCCCGCTCTCTCGCTCTCTCTCTCTCTCTCTCACACACACACGTGCGCGCTCACACTCACACACACACACACACACACACACGATGCGCAAAACTCCGCATTTGAACAGTCAATAGCAAATACTTGAACTAATAACAAAACAGTAGCTGATTCAGAAGCGCCAGATTGTCATAGCAAAGTCAGAATGACCTCCTCTCCTAGGTTCACGAAACGGTCGTCCATAAAATGCATTGCTGTTCTGTTGTAAGTCATCTTAAAGATTCCTAAATGCATCTACTTCCGGAAGGCCAAATAAAGTGCTTTTGCTTTCGCCTAGAAACACACAGCGTCTCCCTGACATGCTGCTTCAACACTAACTGCGGTTACTGAAACCACGCCTTCTTTCTTTGCATACACATTTGGGCGCATTATGCTAATATTTCCACACAGTGAGGTAGATATGTGGGGGCGTGTTAGAACGAGCCGTTTTAGGGGGGCGTGGCTGAGTCTTAACTTTGATAAAGAATATCTCTTTGGTTTTGAGTCTTTGCAACTTCAGGGATCTTATCTATGCACAATCAGCTTGTAACACTCCGAAGAGAAAGGAAAGCTTGAAATCGCATCATATGACCCCTTTAAAAGACCATCATTAACCATAATAGCTAGTACTAATATATTTGTTGTTGCTTATATGTGTCAAAATGATTAGAATAAACAAGCCTACAGAGTGTTTGCCAGCGGGACGTTTTATGTCGTGTCTGTCTGTTCACAGGATGATAAAGGGCCAACTCGACGATGATGATGATGGGATCGACCTTGACAACATGGAGAAATTCCTGCCCAGCCTGCCGGTAAGAAACTAGATGCTGGAACGTGTTTTATTTGAACTGATCCAACACTGACATCTAGTGGTGAAGCCATGACATGACAGTGTGTGTGATATTACTGGATTTTAACTCATGCAGGATAGCAATTTCTGCTCAGGAATGTGCTATTTACACTGAATGATATGAAATTTACACCGGCCTTCTGAGTTAGTGTATCTGTCTAATTAAGCGAAATTGGGTTTGTCTGCATTCCTCTTGTTCTGAGACACAGAATTAAGTGTTTTAATACAGTTCTTCCCGAACAGTATGTGAGATTATGAAGTTGTTACAGTAGCCTGTTATTCATTTGAAGGTGAATTTTGGTAATTAGTTTAGCTAGATACTAACATGCAAATTAGTAATTAAATTAGTCTGAATTTTAATGCACACATATTTGTGAACTGCTGTAGCAACCTCAGCTTCGCATTCATCAGCATTTAACTACAGAAGGAGTCAAGAGAGAATGACGATAAAAGGATATTTCCAAAAAACGATGTGGTCGCACTGTTGACCAGAGCTATTATAGTCAACTAAAAACCATAAAAAAATTGTTGCTAGAAGTAAAATAAACTTAAAAACTTGCCATGGCAATATTTCTCATTTTCATTTAGTTTAAGTTAATGTACTAAAATAATGAAATAAAATGAATAAAAACTATATGGACATATATTTAAAAAGAAAAAACATAACAAAAATGACAAAAACAAACAACAAAATTATGAAAAATTTAACTAAAATTAAACTGAAAACAGAAAATATAAAAAACTAATTGAAAAGATTAATAAAACTACAATGAAATTAAAATAACAAAGCTGTTAGTAGTATTTCAGTATGTACGTGCTCTGATGATGATGGGATCGACCTTGACAACATGGAGAAATTCCTGCCCAGCCTGCCGGTAAGAAACTAGATGCTGGAACGTGTTTTATTTGAACTGATCCAACACTGACATCTAGTGGTGAAGTCATGACATGACAGTGTGTGTGATATTACTGGATTTTAACTCATGCAGGATAGCAATTTCTGCTCAGGAATGTGCTATTTACACTGAATGATATGAAATTTACACCGGCCTTCTGAGTTAGTGTATCTGTCTAATTAAGCGAAATTGGGTTTGTCTGCATTCCTCTTGTTCTGAGACACAGAATTAAGTGTTTTAATACAGTTCTTCCCGAACAGTATGTGAGATTATGAAGTTGTTACAGTAGCCTGTTATTCATTTGAAGGTGAATTTTGGTAATTAGTTTAGCTAGATACTAACATGCAAATTAGTAATTAAATTAGTCTGAATTTTAATGCACACATATTTGTGAACTGCTGTAGCAACCTCAGCTTCGCATTCATCAGCATTTAACTACAGAAGGAGTCAAGAGAGAATGACGATAAAAGGATATTTCCAAAAAACGATGTGGTCGCACTGTTGACCAGAGCTATTATAGTCAACTAAAAACCATAAAAAAATTGTTGCTAGAAGTAAAATAAACTTAAAAACTTGCCATGGCAATATTTCTCATTTTCATTTAGTTTAAGTTAATGTACTAAAATAATGAAATAAAATGAATAAAAACTATATGGACATATTTAAAAAGAAAAAACATAACAAAAATGACAAAAACAAACAACAAAATTATGAAAAATTTAACTAAAATTAAACTGAAAACAGAAAATATAAAAAACTAATTGAAAAGATTAATAAAACTACAATGAAATTAAAATAACAAAGCTGTTAGTAGTATTTCAGTATGTACGTGCTCTCATATCTCATGCTGTTCAGTTAGTGGTGTGGCGCCATCTACTGGTTTCATAATGTCATCACCAATAAACTGCCATATAGCATAGATTTATTTTTCTTTCTTTCTGGTGTGTCTGGCCTCTGGTGAGTTTTTCGATCCACCCAGACCCAGCAGGATGTTGTTAGCGTGGCAGTGGCAGGTCAGAAGGTCACCTGCGGGCAGCGTCTGGACGCGGTGCTGGCAGACAGGGTGGAGTGTGTGTGTGTGTGTGTGTGTGTGAGATGCCAGCCATTGTTCCTACTCAAGTGATCTGCTGTCTTTCCCTTGTTCTCTGTGAATTTATGTGTGTCTAGTTATTTAAACACGTTACAGGCAAACGTGCAGATTGTTGGATGTTAAAATGAACACTTTTTACAGTTTTTGGGTTAAGATCAATTGAAGAAAATTAAAGTTGAGTAGACGTCTATAGAGGTACATGGGAAACCATAGGAAATATTATTTTTGTGTTTCTGTTTTCTCCAAAAGCAAAAGAAAAAATTGTGTTTTTGTGACTTTTAAAACGAAGGGGGAAAAAAACCTATATTAAAGTATAGAGTTAGAAAAGTCTCTTCTGCTCATCGAGGCTGCATTTATTTGATCACAAATACAGTAAAAACAGTAATATTGTGAAATATTATTACCATTTAAAAGAACTTTTTTCAATTTGAATACATGTTAAAATGTAATTTATTTCTGTGATGCGCAGCTGAATTTTCAGCATCATTCCTCCAGTCTTCAGTGTCACATGATCTTCAGAAATCAGTATAATATGCTGATTTGCTGCTCAAGAAACATTTCTGATTATTATCAATGTTGAAAACAGTGCCTGCGAATATTTTTGTGGAAACTGTGATGCATTTCATTTTTCAGGATTCCTTGATGAATCAAACGTACACACATAATCAGTCTCCATCTCTAATCCATGACCTCACTGACCTCGTGTGTGTGTGTGTGTGTGTGTCAGGTGAGTGATTTTTATAGCTCTATTGTTTGTCACCTGATCCACAATATCCTGCCAGATTCACATGCCCTGTGACACAAACACACACTCTTCATCTGAGTGTTTGGCTGGTGTGTTTATATTGTGTGCTGTTGTTCTGTTTGTTTGTTGTGTGTGTGTGTGTGTGTGTCATTGTGAGCGGATGTTTCTGCGCACTGTAAACTTTTATTGTCTTTAATACAGAGCAGAAGGAAGTGATACACCATGTATGTATGTATGTGTGTGTTTTATCACGTTCACTCTTCCCATCATTCCTACAAAATAGGCTTCATTTCCAATAAGGTCAGAGACAGTCTGTCTGTTTCCGTCTTGATGGAGGTGTGTGTGTGTGCGTGTGTGTGTGTGTGTGTGTGTGTTTATTTACTTAACTGACTTTGACCCTGAATTTAAATCGGTAACTCTTTACAATAAGATCTCATTTGTTAGCATTAGTTATTGCATTAGTTTACATGAACTAACAATAAGCAATATATATTTTAACAGCATTTATTAGTCTTTGTTAATGTTAACTTTGCAATCTTTGTCAACACATCAACTGATGTTTATGCACTTTTTGGTTTTAAAAAGTCATTAGCAAATGTTGAAATTAACATTAAGCTTATTTAATGCTGTAGAAGTATTGTTCATTGTTAGTTCATCTTAACTAATGTACGTAGTTAATGTTGACGAATGAGAATGTTACTGGTAAATCTGACTAAATCTTGCTTTTGAGGATAAAACCTGCAAAGATTCATAAGTAAATATTTTTTTAGGATTTGTTTTAGTCTATAGTCATTGTATTTTATATGAAAATAGCAGGAATCAATAGCACAGCCTCATTTAAGCAGATTAAATGTATGTGTTTTCTCACAATGTATGTGTTGTCATTTCTGTCTGTATTTTGGGAGAAAACATTGATTTCTTGTTTTTTGCTTCATAAGGTCTTTTTACGCTTTACTTAAAGCCTTTATATATAATGCATTATAAAAGTAGTTTTAATGCATTATTTGTGCCTTGTAATGCACATTATGATGCATTGTATGATCTCATGAATCTATTCATTATACTTTATTATCTATTCATTGTTACACATTTAGAAAATATAATGCATTAAAACACATGACAAAGCTGTATATTATTAATATTGTAATGCATTTTAACTTTGCATTTTAACTAACAATTATTTACGAAACAATATTATGCATCAAGATGTTCATTATGAATAACTTTATAATGCATTATACATAAAGGCTTTTAGTAAAGCGTTACCAGCTTTGAGAATTGAAGCTAAAATGATTCATAAAAACAGTAAATATTATTCTCTTTTAGAATTTATTTCACAGTCATTATAATTTATATAAAGATAACAGAAATCAATAGCATGACCTCATTTAAATCGATCAAAAGTGTGTATGTGTGTCTGTGTTTTGGGTGAAAACACTGAATTCATGTTTTTGCGTCATATGTTTTGACTCGTATGTGTCTGTATATTGTGTGTGTGTGTGTGTGAGAAAGAGAGAGAGTGAGATCAGTGGTCTGTCTGCGATGGGTCAGATACCGTAGACGTGTCTAGTTCCTGCAGAACAAAAGGCCTCCAGCGGGCCAGACACTGAGCGCTCGCTCCCCTGAGCTACGTGCGGCCCGTCAGGAGCAGAGAGAGCGTGAAAGAGACCCCGGCAGATCTGACACAGAACAATGAGGAGGTCAGACACCCCTCCCTTTCCTGTGATTGTCAACCACACACATAGCTCCTACCTGCTCGCTCACGCTCTCTTTGTCGTAATGCTGGAATGAGGGGGTCAATGAGGAAATCTTGGATGTGGAATCATCTGTTGGGAGTTGTGGAATTTGTGGGCGGATGCTTGTTGGCCGATTCGAGCGACTGTATGACGTGAATTCATGTTTTTGCGTCATATGTTTTGACTCGTATGTGTCTGTATATTGTGTGTGTGTGTGTGAGAAAGAGAGAGAGTGAGATCAGTGGTCTGTCTGCGATGGGTCAGATACCGTAGACGTGTCTAGTTCCTGCAGAACAAAAGGCCTCCAGCGGGCCAGACACTGAGCGCTCGCTCCCCTGAGCTACGTGCGGCCCGTCAGGAGCAGAGAGAGAGTGAAAGAGACCCCGGCAGATCTGACACAGAACAATGAGGAGGTCAGACACCCCTCCCTTTCCTGTGATTGTCAACCACACACATAGCTCCTACCTGCTCGCTCACGCTCTCTTTGTCGTAATG